AGGCCGCATTTACTACTCTGCTCACTACTGTTCAACATGTTAGAGGACAATAGATCAATATGCGTTGTATTGATAAATTGAATTCTTAAGTTGAAATCTTTTTACAACTAAATTTTTTTTATTTTGTTTTGCCGTTGTTGGTCATGGGGCTTGACCTCTGGGCCTGTGCGCTGTCCCTCAGCTCTTCAGCTCAAACTGAGTGCTCTAACCACTTGGGCCACAGTGCCACTTCCAGTTTTTTGGTGGTTAATTGGAGATAAGAGACTTTCCTGCCAGGGCTCCCTCAGATCTCAGCCTCCTGAGTAGCTAGGATTACAGGTGTGAGCCACCAGTACCCAGCTACAACTAAGTTTTTGAAAAGAAGTTAGAAACAAAACATAAAAAGAACATGGTAGAATATGTATGTTCAAATTAAACTCAGTTAAAGTTTAGGTTGATCAGAGAGTTGGTATAAAAACGATTACAAAGATAAAATAAAGATTTATAGTTACAATTTTATAGAAATTTTATGTGTTTTTTTTAGATTATTGGGTAATGTAAAACAGTAAAGATAGCGGACCAAAATGTCATAGTTATAGCTTAATTTTAATGAAATTAGTGTCACAATTAAATGTAGTATCTGTCCCTGGATTGATTCCTGAATAACAACAGAACATAAAGCAGTAACTGGCAAATTTAAGTTTCTAGATGGTAAGATTGTATCAATGTTAACCTCTTGGGAAGTTATGAAGGAAAATGTCTTGTGTTTCAGGGGTACACTGAAGTTGTACATGCAAAAGGTCATTGTATCTGCCATTTTGCCTTAAAAGATTCAGAAAAATTGATCCCCTGTACACACAGTGGGAACCAAGACAATATGAAAAAATATGAAATTTTGCAGAATTTGAATGAAAGGTACACAGAAATTCTTTGTAATATTTCTTTCAACTTTTTGGAAGTCTGAAACAGTGTTAAAATATTATTTTCCTTTCCACAATATAAAATGGAGTAAGAGAGGTGACTAGGAAATTGGGCATATGTTGGTAAAAATCCACATTAGTACTCTTTGGAGGGAAATGAGAGAATCTAACTGTGTTTTAAGTTCTAAACCAGCACCTCCATTGTAGCATCTGTCTTAAGCAAATATTCACTTTCATGCACAAAGGTATTTATTGTGATATATATATATATATATATATATATATATATATATATATATGTACTGGGGTGCTGGAGGTGGAACTTGTGGCCTTACTCCTGCTAGTCAAACAATCTATTACCAGTTCCTGTAATGCAGTTGGTTTCATATTAGGAATGAAACCCTAAGCAAACAAATAATAATAATAAACCTGTATTTCCACTTGTAAAGAAGGTAAGTTATGGTAAAAGTTAGTTCTCTCCTTTTGGAAAAACTCCAGTACACATCAAATGGGGAAAAGGTAAGAACTTGTTTAAGATTGAGCAAAAAGAGACCGCCACATGGTTCAGGCAGAAAAGTTTATTGGGTGAGGCGTGGGGAGTGGGGAGTGGAAGGGTGTCTGAGGGGTGGAGAGAGCATCCTGCCAAGACTGCACAAGATGGAGGGTGCAGGGGGTGCAAGGGATGCAGGGGAAGGGAAAAGTGGGAAAGGGAAAGGGGCAAGGGGAAGGGAAAGGAAATGAAAGGCTGCAAGGGCTGCAATCAATGATTCAGATTGACTTTATAGGGAGAGGGCGGAGAGGAGGTGTGGCCACAGCAAAGGGCAGCTGAAGTGATGACCTCAGAGCCTGGGGGTCCTCCCACTGTCCCCAGGTGGGCCAGTTACCTGAGTGGGGGTGGGGATTTCTAGGGAAGGGGCCAACTGTGCACCAAGGGGGAACAATGAGGAAGGGGCCTTTTTTCCCAGCTGGACCTAACACTTAGAAAACTATACCTGAAGTTATAGCCCATTTATGTTTATCTCACTCATTAAATGATCTGTATTTAAGAATTAGCTATGAGACCCTTGTCCATTGTATGGCTAGTGAAAATCTTCACCCAATCTGTAGGCTTTCTATTGATCTTGCTAGCTATGTCTTTTGCCATGCTCTGCAATTTCATGCAGTCCCATTTGTCCAACCTTTCTTTGATTTGTTGTGTTTCTGAGTCTCTATTAAGAAAATTTCGGTCTGTGCCAGGGAGACCTAGGGTTTTTCCTATTCTGTCCTGTAATGTTTTCAGGGTGCCTGCTTTAGATATTTCTTTGTTGCTTTGTATGTCCCTCCCCGACGGTATAACCTCTGTTTTCACTGTATTTGATGTTGGTATAATTTGTGGCGGGGAAGGGAAAAAACAAATTGTTTAAATAGGGATACAGGTGGACCCGTTGCGACAATGAGATGTACAAGACATTATGTCGAAAAATGAACTTTACAACTTTGGCGGAGGTGGGGGAGTGGGGGCTGGGGAGGAGGGGGGGTGATGATGGGAAGGAATGGGAAGGGGAAACAAAAGAGGAGGCAATAATGCTAACTAGAATATGTCTGAGACAAGCAAAATAGGTCAGATAAGTTGATGTTAGGTGAAATGAACCCCAAGATAAGTATTTAAGTGTCTTTTTTTCTTTTTGCAATTGTTTCTAACATATTTATAAGATTATTTATTTGTTGCTTTGTATGTCCCTCCCCCACGGTATAACCCCTGTCTTCACTGTATTTGATGTGGGTATAATTTGTGGAGGGGAAGGGAAAAAAACAAATCGTTTAAATAGGGGTACAGGTGGACCCATTGCAACAGTGAGATGTACAAGTCGTTATGTGGAAAAACGAACTTTACAACTTTGGCGGGGTGGGAGATGGGAAGGGATGGGAAGGGGAAACAAAGGAGGAGGCAACAATGCTTGATAAGAAATGTGCTCATTACCTTGCTCATATAATTGTAACCCCTCTGTATGGTATTTTCACAATAAAAAAATGTCAAACAACCAACAACAACAAAAAAGAATTAGCTAGAGCTTGGAAATGTAGAGTATTGACACAATTGCCTTGGATTGAAGTTAACTCCTTGAGAGAAGGGTTATGAACCATCAGCAGATGGGGGAGAATGATGGAAGGGATGACATTGATTGAGATGCACTGTACTCATAAACTGACATGTTGAATTGAAATCCCTTGTACAACTACTTAAAAATAATTAAAAATAAAATTGATTAGGAAATTATTAGCAGACAGGAATCAGAATCTTGTGTACACACTAAGCCAGGGAATAGCTATTTACATCTACTTGAGTGTGAAAATCAATCTTTACAGGCTGTCAGTGTGTTACAGAAAAGAAATCATTCACACTATTTTCAAAAAATACATTTCTATATAGTGAGAACTTTCTTCAATATGGAACATTTTCTACCTAAAATTCTAGAATATGAATGCAATTTGCAATAAATTAAGAAAACATACTATAAGCAAATGTCACAAAAATATAAATTATTTAAATATATACATAGCTACATTAAAGTACTACTGCCCTGTGTTGTGGTAGAATGTTGAAGTTCAATAGGGTTATTTCATTTCAAAATTATTCAGATATGTATGGAATATGATTTTGTAACTAAGACTACTATAAGAAATTGAATGAGTAGTAAGAATCTTGAACATTAAAATCTTCAACCAACTGCATATTATTAAATTATTTATGGTATTTTGCATAAGCCATTTGGCCTGTTGGCTATTTCCAGTTTTGTTCAAAACTCTCTAAATAATGAGATTATATACTTCTTTCATCCCTTATTTTTATATAAATTACTTAAATCCCTAATTTTAGTAGTGGAAGCAACAAATAGGTATATTAGAAATGATATTGGTAGGAAATGGGGGGCCTCAAAAATAAAACTCTCATCTTGGAACAACATCAAAGTAAGAAATCTCAGTCATCTACACTTTTGCAGGAAAAAAAAACACAAGTAGAAGTGAAATCTAAAGTAAGAAAAGACACTATTTACTCAGTCCTTAATTGTTGTGTAACATTTCATAAAATATTCATATAAACAAGAGGTTAATTTGTAATACATTTTAAAGTTTACCTAAAATATATCAGCATTTAAATAAAATAAGGTGTTAAAATACTTCAGTGCTTATATGTTTTTTCTAACTCAAATTGCTCCTATGAATAAGATATTTATTTCATCTTAGATTCCTAAAAATGACATGAAATCACATATTTACTACTGCATGCCAATTCAAAATACATGCTGTTATTAAGGCACAATGCTCTTTTGTACTCTGTATCAATAAATGAAATGCATGAAAATAGATTTGTTTTAAGGTACAATAAGTATATTGCTTTTATCCTAAGTATATAATTGAAGCATTTATCCTTTATTTGCTTTTATTTGATCAAAAACCAGAATCCTATAGACATTTATGTAAGCCCAGATTTCCTTTTGTTTCAAAAATACTTACTGTGTTTTATTATATGGCATCTTGAAAACACAGGCACACTTTAAAAGGAGTTGATTTTGCACATTAATAGTTTCTGAACTTTATTTTTCCACAGAACCTGCATAATTATTACGGATATACTTCTACTTACAAAACTTAAACAATATGTAATACAACTTTGCGTCATCTGCAATAATACCATTTAAAATCATACAAGGATAAGATGGCTCTTTTTGAAACCTACAGGGAAGGAAATTGGAAATGCTGCGTACATCAGAATGGCGACACTGATGGGTTTGACGTGCATACTAGTGTGTCATCAGGATTATCAGAAATATTTGCAGGTTACATGAACATAATATCACTTGGGTTGATATTATGTAGTAGGCAGATCTTTTATTCATTAGTAAAGCAGCAGATTTGCTACATACATCACCTTAGAGTACAGACATTACAGGATCATGCTGCCATTCAAAAGTAAGGTGCTGCATTTGATTGCAATCAAATGGCATTCAAAGTGCAATATTTTTTGCTATGAAAATGCAGAAGTTTTCACAGACCAGCATTTATGAGTTGAATTGGTCACAATGAAATAGGCTTTCATTTTATACAAATGGAAAAGATTTATCATAAATATATAGACCAATATATAACATTGAAGAACAAGAAGCAGAAAGGAAATAATGCTCTTGCATACAGATCGATTCTCTTTGCTGCTGTTGGGATGACAGGCTTGGCAGGGGGAGGCTTCTTATTGTTCTTTGCCTGGGATTTCCCAAGTCCATTGTTGACTTCAATAGGTTTTCCATAGCAATCATAATTGGATAATTCAAAATCTCTTGGTAAGCTTCCAACTATGCTGAAGTCATTAGATCTCAAATCAGACTTAGAAGTACAAACCTTTTTGCATCTCGTCTCACCAACCTGAGGATTAAAACATATCAGAACATATTTAGAATCTTTTTATTGATAAAACACATCTCTACAAATAAATTCTTTTAAAATAACTGTCTTCACAGGAGATTATTTATGTTTTCCCCAGAACTAACTAACAAGATAGTAGTCACATATTTAAACTATCAGATTACTCATATTTAGGGATTTACAATGCTGTCTAAGTAAGTGTAATGTAATAGAATAAACTTTTGATTGCTGATTTCATGCTGAGGATTCAAAACACAAACCAACTTAAATATTATCAGGCTTGTGATATTTTCGATTTTTGTTTTTTCCTTTGTGTGTATCGTTGAGCTTGAACTCATCACCTCCCATCTTTCTTAGCTTTTTCACACAAGGCTATTGCTCTCCCACTTGCACTACAGCTCTACTTCTGGCTTTTTGCTGGTTAATTGGAAATAAAGGTTTTATGGATTTGTCTGCCCAGGCTTTCTTCAAACCTCAACCTTCAGATCTCAGCCTCCTGAGTAGCTAGGATTACAGCCATGAGCCACAGACATCCAGCTATCTTTTCTGCTTAAACACCAAGAAAATAAAACTCCATATTTTTTCTAATATGTAACAATGAAATAGACAATATTTATAGAATGTATGTATTGCAGAAATCTTGAACTGTGAAGTGTTTATTTTCCTATTGATCCTATTTCTAAATGGGATTGCCTATAAATAACCTAGATATTTGTCCCTCCTATAACTGTGTTTATTAAAAAGACTGACAAAAACAGTAAAGAATGGTTACAGAAGCAGGAACTTACTAGTGTCATACATTTCTAGGTTGTTCAATTAAACAACCACACTCCAAAACCACAAAGAACCTATGTTCACTTCAGCTAGACTTATATAATACAGAGATCTGTCAGTTCCTGATCTCTAATTTGTTAATTGAATCAATTCATTACCAATCAATAATTACCTCCCACTGAACTCTCACAAGCAATAGAAGATGCTCAGAAAGAATCAGAGGAGTATAGATTAACCTGCATAGCCTTAGAATGGCATTGTAACAAAAGGACATAGAGACAGACATAATGCAGATTCCTTTTCTTTTGCTGATCCTGGGGCTTGAACTCAGAGTCTGGGCACTGTCCCTTAGCCACTTTATACTCAAAGATAGTGTTCTACCACTTGAACCACAGCACCACTGCCAGATTCTTCTGAGTAGTTTATTGGAGATAAGAGTCTCATGGACTTTCCTGCCCCGGCTGGCTTCTAACTGTGATCCTCAGATCTCAGCCTCTTGAGTAGCTAGGATTACAGGTGTGAGCCACCAGTGCCTGACTCAGATATTGTTTTGCTTTGTGTTTTTCATTGTTCTGACTTTTGTGACCCACCTTTGGAATTTCCATTGTTGACATGTGTCAGACTAAAGAAGAAATCATCTCATTGTTCATTTGTAGTATATCATTACTCCAGTTGTTTTTCTTTCCTTTTATAATACATCAAAAGTCAGGTAGTTCTATTTATATTTGCAAGATTATAACTGGATAAAAATGCCTTGAGTAATAAAAAGAATGAATCTTATTCTCCAATATTACTTTAGCTAGCAGAAGACTGTCTTTTTTAAAAAATATTTTTATTGTAAAGATACTGTACAGAGGGGTTACAGTTACCTGAGTAAGGTAATGATTTCCTATCGAGCATTGTTATCCCTCCTTTATTTTTCCCCTACTATCCCTTTTTCTCTTTATCAACGTGTTTCAGGTACACATTGGATATATAAGCATCTTTTAAAAAGTTCCTAGCCAATGGGTTTGATAAAATATAAATATTGTCTACGTATATAATAACAAAGCCAGCATTTGCTTACTAATGTAAAATAATATAAAAATAAATGTTCAATCAGGAAGAATTAAATAACATAATTATATAATGCTATGGGGTGCAATGTGTTGTTTGGCAGGAGGAATGAATTCTGGTGCTCTTGTCTTTATACTCAGTATCTTGCACACGTTTGCAGCTTACTTCTGAACATTCCATCTGGTACTTGCCCAGGAAATGTCTTTTGCATTTGTTCAAATAAAAGACATGGGAAGCATGACTTCCTATTACTTATTTTTATTTTCTCATATCCTATCTCTTATTAGTTTTTCACAAATGAGATCATGTGGGTTAACTATAGAACTTCATTTTTTTTTTTTTGCAGTCATGTGCTTGAATTCTGGGCCTGGGCACTGTCCCTCAGCTCTTCAGCTCAAGGCAAGCACTCTATCACTTGAGCCACAGTGCCACTTCTGGCTTTTTCTGCTTATGTGGTGCTAAGGAATTGAACCCAGGACCTCATACATGCAAGGCAAGCATGCTACCACTGAGCCACCTTCCCAGCCCCAGAACTTCACTTATTATAAATCATATTTGTACATATCTTAGCATCCATAAGTAACAAACCATGTGACCAAGTTTACATAGTAGACCATAAATTAGGTATTAATATTTCAAAATCTTAATTTAGTTTATATAATAATATTCTTTGTTTCTGTAGCAATTTTAATGTTAGCTTTTCCTCTACACAGCTCATTAAAACTTGGGTATAGAGAGGTTATTTAAATACAATAAACATGTCAGGAGAATAACTTCTTTTATGTTAATAACATATAAATGCATTGCTAGATATGTACTTTTAGACATGTTATTGTTTTATCTATGTCATTCATTAAAATATTACTCAGATATATTTGAGGATTCTTATATTCACAAACAGTAGTTTTGTCTGTGTTTACGCACGCGCGCACAGATGATGGTGAAGAAATTCTCTACTACAAAGTGTCCTCAAGTTGCTTAAGTAAGTCATGGTTCATTAACTAGTTGGCAATTCTATTACTGTTCCATTCAATAACATTTATATACACATAAAAATGCTCATTTTTACTTAATGCCCTGGAGATCTTAGTATTTTACCAAATATACATATGAGTGTATAAGAGTTTATAAAAACATTTTCAATATTCATAATATCACATAAGGAATAAAATGTATTGAAATAAAACTATAATCCTGTCTAACACACATTCTTAAAGTAAATTTGGCTATATTAATGAACAATTCTTAATCTTCAATTTTACTTATTATCAATATATCTCACTTATTTAAATCTTATGAACTTTTATAACTTCTAAAAATTAATGGTAACAAAAATGAAGAAGCTTGATGATGTAATGGAGACAAAAACCTCCTAATGCTCCAGAACCTTTCCTCTAAGATTCTCTTTGTGATCCTTTAAGTTCTGAATCCACATACACTAAAAATAAAATAATTCTATTTTATGGAATTTAGGAGATAATCTCTCTTGAATTGAAGACACAGGAATGGCCTAATTGGAATAAGATCCTTCTATATGATAAAAAATTTGTTCAGAGGAAATAAACTGATATATTTTTACCAAATTTAAATCAATGATGATTTTTAAAACATATAAATTACCAGGAAGAAACAACAATCTTATTTGTAGAGGAACAGCAACTTACTCTTAATGCATTAAAAACTGTAGGAATGACAACTGTTTCCTTTGTTTTGGCTTTAACAAACCACTGGGTATAGTGTGTATTAAGTGTTGGAAATAGGATGATGGGCCAGGCAGGTACTCGCGGCTCATGCCTACAATCCTAGCTACTTTGGGAAGATGAAATCTGAGGATCATAATTCAAAACATGCCCAGGCAGGAAAGTCTGTGAGGCTATCTCCAATTAACCACCAGAAAATGGAAAGTGGATCTGTGGCTTAAAGTGGTAGAGCATAGCCATGAGCAAAAGAGCTCATGGACAGCATCCAGACCTGAGTTCAAGCCCCAGACTGACATAAAAAACAAAAAACAAAACAAAATAAAAACAAAAAAGGATGATAGTAACAACTAAGGATCCTTAACTGTTTGTGTTGAATGAAAAGAAAAATATCAGAGAGAACACACTAGTGACTATGATATTGAAATGGCTAAGAATGTACTACCGTTTGAGTGGGAAAAACATAAAACCAACCTGAGACAATTATACACACATGATATATTTTGTATTACAAGCACAGTTATCAAAACTTCATACCAAAAACTAGAATTTTAAATCTTTTTTATTACTATTTCTTTTCTTAGTAAACACAGTGTTAGTTTTAAATTAGCTCTTGAAGTTTTCTGCATTTTAAATTCCATTATGCTTTCATAAATTCCTATTGTTATTCTGTCTAAAGAACTAATATCATCTTATTAAAAAATTGTGATTTGTAAATCAAAATCCACTAGAACAAATGTATTTTAATCCTAAGCCATAATTATACTTACTATCGCAAAAACCATTGAATAACTAGATCATAATTTAAAAATTCTATTTTATATTATCTTTTCATTAACAGATATGTAATAAGCATATGAACCTATCAAGTTATAGATTTGATGTAGTTTGATGTGTACATTAACATTAACTCATTTGGGAGCTCATATTATAATTTTGAGTCCCATTTGAAAACACATATATCACATACATACAATGTTCATTTTCAAGGGTATATTTTACTTGTTAAAATATAAAAAATAATTTATGTTCCTTTCTATAGATTAAAATTTCCAGTCCATGTTTCAGTTTACTACACCATCTTTCTAGGCTCTGAGTTCATTCTCCCAGTACCACAAGAAATAAAAAATATAATTGGAAAAACTGAAAGACAGAATGTCTCTGTAAAGAAAAACAAACTGCCAGCAAAATCCATATACACACAAATCCATATACACACATGCCTTCCAATGGCAAGAATTGAAAAATACAATAACCAAATTATAACCTTGTTTTGGTATCAAAAGGAAAATAGTGTTGCAAAGGAACAACCAAGGAAATGAGAGATACAGCAGAAAGTGATACTCAACCTTAGTGACAAAGAGAAAATTGAGTAGGAAAAACGAATAGGATCATAGAACTACCCTAGGAACATAGAACTACCAATGATCTAGCATTTGTGTTATCAGAGTCTTGGGAAGAGAGAAAAAGAGCATGTCTGAGAAAGCATTCGAAGGAATACTAAGTGCAAACTTCCATGTTTGGAGCAAGATATATGTTTATATTTTTTCTACCAGTTGAACAAATTCCCAACAAAATGAATCCAAAGAGTCCACATAAAGATTCCTTATAATTAAACTTCTAATCTTTAACAATGGAAATCAACCTTGTTGGACTTCAGATAAGTGACACTTTATTGACAGGAAACAACTAGAATGCTTAGTTCTCAGGAGAAGCAGTGGAGTCCAGAAGGAAGTAGCACAAGTTAGGTGTTTATGCTCCCACAATCTTATACCCAAGGAAATGCCTTCAAGGAATGAAAGAGAAATTAAATCAAGTCAAACCTCCTCAAATGGAAGAAAACAGTTATCACCAGAGTTTTCCCAAAATAATGGACAAAGGAATTCTTTAAATAGAAGTAAAACAATAAAACATAACCTTGGAACATCAGGATTTATTTCCTAACATATTTTCGATTAGGAATTAAAACCCATAACACTCTCTAATGTGATCCTAAATATATGTTGGAAAAATATTTAAAACAATTATAAGTAGAAGCAAATAAAGAGAAACAATGAGAAGTAATGTCATCTTACATCAAAAAATTAGTAAAATACTCCCCCAAAATTAGTACATATGCATAACAATGTCTAGAGGAACCACTAAAGCACTATATGAGAAGATGTACTTAAAACAATATGTAAAGCTCAAGTTGGAATTCTAACAAATTTCAAGGCCAGGAAAAAGAAAACAAAGAAACAATGAAATTAGAAAATGAAATTCAGATCGAAGTCTCAATGTATCAATAACTATACTAAATTTAAATTATCTAAATATAACAATTAAAAATCTAATGCCAGGCATTGAGGTTTTATGCTTGTAATCCTAGCTTCCCAGAAGGCTAAGATATGAGGACAGAGGCTTGAAGACAGCCAGAACTTAAAAGTCAGTGAGATGTTTATCTCCAATTAAATACCAAAAGAATAAAAAAATAAAAAATAAAAAAGCTGGAAATGGTGCTGTGGCTCAAGTGTACCCAATCCCTGAGTTCAAGCCCCAGGACAGGCACTAAAAATAAAATAAAGAGTCTAAGAGAGTGACAGAATAAAACTGTCAACCAATATGTGTTGCCTTTAAGAAACTATCTCAAATAAATGATATAGATATGCTGGATGCATCGAAGTCATGACTTCTGTAAGTTAGGGTAGCTCTACCTAATGAAAAGGTTTCCCCTATTCTTCATGAAGAGTATTTGCATTAAGAGGTTACATGACCCTTAAAACTGTAGGTAATAATATGCAGAAGGGTTAGTCCTTATACATAGAAAATAAATATAATGGAGTGAGAAGGAAAAACATTCTCACCTGCAAAGTGCTAATGTGAACAGGAGTCCCCGTGCCATTCACAGTGTTCTTTTTAGCTGCATTTCCACCCTTTCCATCTGCTTGCTCCGCCTTAGCAATCCTGGCCTTTTCTGCTTCCACTCTTTTGGGGTTGTTCAGCATCACTTGGACAACAGCATACTCCACCAGGGAGGCAAACCCGAAGAGAAGGCAAGCAATGAGCCACACATCAAGGGCCTTTACATAGGACACTTTGGGAAGCTCAGCAGCCAGGGTGGTGCACTCAGAGGCCAAGCTGAGCACGGAGAAAATGCCTAGAGGCAGATACACAAGCAGAATTGCTTTTACCCCTGTGAAATGATCTGCATTGATCTTTCATCATATTCCTCTCCAGTAACTTTCCATGGACCACAAACAATTTATAACATTGCTGTAGAACTCAAAGATTAGAAGAAATACATTAATAGGAATATGCTTTCTATGAGAGGATTGTTTGTTGTGGTTGGAAAATATAATATGTGTAAATAATTCTTATTTTGAAAATAAATAAAAGCTTATTTATTGTCAGCACTGAGGCTTGATCTCAGGATTTCATGCTTTTTTTTAACCCAAATCTGTGATGCTCGACCACTTGAGCCAAGCCTCCACTTCTGGCTTTTTGCTGGCTAGTTGGAGATAAGGGTCTTTCAGATTTTTCTGCCCTATCCACTCAGGAGGCTGAGATCTGTGGATCAAGGTTCAAAGCTACCCCATGAAAGAAAATCCATGAGATATGTTAATTTAATTAACAACCACAAAACTGGAAGTGGAGCTCTGGCTCAAAGTGGTAGAGCACTAACCTTGAGTAAAAGAACTCAGGAACAGAATTCAAGTCCTGAGTTCAAGCCCCATGACCATAAAACAAATAAAGAAATTAAGAGCAAGGCTTAAAAACAAAATATGGATCAGGCTTAAATGGTAAAAATGTCTAAAACTATCCCATAGAATATCTGAGGAGAGAGTGTTACTTCCCTAGTCTTTGATTAGAGTTTTCTACTTTGTTTTAGGGAGATTTCAGTTGTATGGACAACTAAATCTGAGCAAGAATAGAACATACAAGGGAATTTTTGATACATTTTTTTCACAATAGAGAAAACATATTCCTGCTTATTTCTAATAAAATCTAAATGATCCCAACTTTTTAAGGAAAGAGATAAAATTCTTATTTTTTGCAATACTAACTATATATGGAAAGCAAACACAATACATATCAATCTAGGCAAGATATTTAAGGCCATGATAATAGCACTCCAAAGAACTGTAATAATGCAATGTTTTCTGTTCTTCCCATTTGCTACCTCTCCCTCCCTACTTTCCTCCCTCTTACTTTCCTTTCCTTTCTCTCTTTCTGTCTTCATTCAAATTTTTAGGAGGGGAATGAAGAGACATGACCTGTTGGCATTGGATACTGCAAACACATTGGAAGCCTTGGGCAGGTTCAGAGGAGACTTACCTTAAGAAGGTAAAAAGTTTAACTTGGCTTCATGAGTCCCTCTAGCTTACTGGGCTCTGTAGTTTTCTCTGCTTAAATCTGAATACGCTCAGAATTACTGAATACAATATTCTAATAAGTAAATGTTTCCTTAGTAGGTTTTCTTTTTCTTCCATTTGATATGGTAGATACCATATTACTAGTAGTAACCAGATAGAACACTGCAGATAATAATGTGCTTTTAATTATAATATTTCAAAAAGCTTCTGACAGATGTCTAGTTTTAAAGAAAATTATTTAAGAGACCAAGTTTATGAGAAAAAAGACTTTCAAAAAATGTAATCACATCATAGGTGGAATCAATCTTAGGTATATAAAGATTTGGTAAGCATCTAATTTACTATTTTCTAATTTACTAGTATCCTCAGTCCTGAGGATAAACTAACAATAAATTAATGTGACTGTATTTTAAAAGTTTGCAGAGGCAGTGGCTCACATCTGCAATCTCACCTATTCAGGACTCTGAGATTAGGAGGATTGCAGTTCAAGGATAGCCAGAGCAAGAAGTTAGTAAGAAACTGTCTCAACAGAAAGGCCAGGTGTGCTGTCACATGTGTGTCTTCTCACTACATGAGAGTCATAGTGCAGGCTAGTTTAGGGGGAAAAAGCAAGACCCTACCCCAAAAATAGCTGAAACAAAAACACTGGGAATATGACTCAAGAGATAGAGCATTTGACAAGTACCTGAATTTTAGCTTAGTACTGAAAAATGCTGCCCGGTTAATATTATCAAGCTCAAGATTTCCTAACCTAGAAAGGAAGACAAAATTTCAAGATCTTAATAATTATTCCAATCTCAATACCCACAAATATTAATTGACAGATCATCTTTATGAATCAATTTTTCTATTATTTTTCAAATTTTATGAATCAATCTATCAAAATCAAATCTTAAGTCCTTGAGAAAGACTACAGTGATGATTTTGTCTGTGTTTCCATGGTTCATTTTCCTTCCTTCCTTCTTTCTTTCTTTCTTTCTTTTTCCTTCCTTCCTTCCTTCCTTCCTTCCTTCCTTCCTTCCTTCCTTCCTTCCATCTCACTTTCCTTCATTCTCTTCCATTTCCTCCCATCTCTACCCTCAAGTTAAATAGTTAATTATATATATATATATATATATAATGTAATGTATATTGAATACAATGATTTCATGTGTTCACTCTTCCTCTCTTCATTCCTGTGCGCCCCCTCCCCATCGCGCTCATTTGCCCAGTACCCAAAACATGTTTCCACTTCCTGGTGTTCATTTTGATAAGTAGTACTTCAGCTATTCATAAGAGTTATGCATTTAGATTCCTCTTCTAAATATACACTCCTTCAGTCACTTTGTTTTGTGTGTATATATATTGAATCTTGTGTATGTTATTATGAATAGTTATATTTTAGGCTTACTAATAAACTAAAATGTATGCTCAAATACTTATCCTAATATATTAGGAAATTGATTATAGAGAATAGAGGCACTGTAATGGATTTTAAAACACCTCTGACAGAGAATACTAAGAAACATTAATTTTGGAGAAACAAATTAAATCAAAGCAAGGGTAAGTCATAGCAGGAAGATGTATGCATCCTGTTTTATCCATTGGCAATGCTGAGCTCTAATGTCACTTGATCTACAATCTTCAGACACACCATTCCCATTTTCCTTCATCCTCTCCTAAGGTGACTTTTCTGTCTATCCTCATCCTCTATGATTTCACTCACTCCCATCACCTGAAAAACTACCTGCATACTGGCAAATTTATAACTATTGTTCTAGTTATCACATCTCCAAGGAGCAGAAGACCTGAATATTCAAGTACCCAGGGGAAATCTCCATCTAGCAGTCATCAAAAGTGCTGGGATAGTGAAGCAAACTATGTGTCTGCTCTTGATCTCATAGGCACTCTACTTGTAGCTTTTCCCACCTCCACGAATGGCTAATATCTTTCAGCTTTTATGTAAAAATCCCAACAAACTTTTAAGGTAGGCTTGATTGACTCTTCTCCCCCAAACACCTATACATATTGGTCATCTCAGCCTTAGTTGTCACCTGCCCTCTAGGGCACAACATAATTACTTACCAGGATTATTTTCCCAAGTCCCTGGTGAGTCTTATTACCACTCTGACTTTACAACTTGTCTCCCCTAACCTCTCTCTGCCTGACAGACTCACCTCCTTGCTGATCCCTAGGAATCAGGCATGAGCCTACCTCAGAACCGTGCCCTGAGGTTTACTGTCCAAGCCCACACATCCTCTCCTAACTAACCATGAGTTTCTGCTTTACTTCTGTCATTTGTTTCTGAGAGCCCCTCTCCTGAGACTTTTCCTGACAAGCCAGCTTTACTCCTGAATGCCACTATCTTACCTGTTACCTTCTGTACCTATAAAAAAGGCAAAGAGGATTTAAAAAAATCTATTTTATTAACTATTAGCTAATTAGTTGGTCCAATGTACCCCCTCATCTTGATCAGCACCTAGCAGATAGCACAAAATAAACATTTTCTGAATAAAAACATGTAAACATGCTTGCAAACTATAAAGCAATATATAAATGTAGCATATTTTTAACTCTTGGGTATGTAATATAGGATTCATAGTCATTTTCTCAAACTTCCCAGTAGCCTTTTTCAGACTTTCCTAGCTCAAATTAATGGTGATGGTATTTTTGGATGTTTTTATCAGTAAAAAGAATTTTGAAGTCAGCCTTGATTCTTCATCCTCCTGCTCCTGCTCCTGTTCCTCCTCCTCCTCCTCTTCCTCCTTCTCCTTCTTCATCCTCCTCCTCCTCTTTCTCTTCTTCCTTCTCTATTTTGGTGGTATTGGAGTTTTGCACTCCGGGTTTCCTGCTCATAAGTGCTCTACCACTTGAACCATACTCCCAGACCGTTTTACTTTAGTGATTTTTTTCAAACAAAGTCTTTTCATTTTTCCCAGAGTAGGCTTCAGAGTAATTATCCTACCTATGTCTCCCTGAGATTATAGGCATGCACTTCATATCTGGTTTGTTCTATGAAGTGTAGTCTCAGATTTTGGAAGGACTAGCTTCAAATTATGTTGCTCCTGTCTCTGTGAGTCTGTTTTCTTAAACTGCACACACTCCACTTTTTTTTCATCATCCCTGTATTGAAATTCAGGAATTGAAATGAAATGAGATGAAGTGTGTGTGTGTGTGTGTGTGTGTGTGTGTGTGTCGCTTGAATTCAGAGCCTGGGTACTGTCCCTCAACTATATTACTCAAGGGTAATACTTCACCACATTGAGCCACAGCTCCATTGGAGATAAGGGACTCTAGATTTTCTTGCATGGGTTAGCCTTGATATGTGATCCTCCTGGGAGGAAGAGTTATAGTTAAGAGGTAGATCTGCTGATAAAAAAATACCATAGTAAGTATAGAGCTGAAATTCAAAATTCAGGTTTGACTCTAAAGACTAACTTTTCTCCAAAAAACATGTTTGTCCAAGACACCAGGGAGAAAGCTCAGTGTTATAGCACATGCTGAGAGTATGTATGAGAGCATCAGTTCCATCCTCAACACGATAAAAAAAAAAAGATAAAGTCAGAAAATTTGCAACTTGTATGGCATATCTACTGAAAGTTGAATGATAATCAGAGGCCTTTTATCAAAATTTTTGCTGTGAGCCTTTTCATAGGAAAACTCTCTAAGGTGATGAATGTCTTCAAGTACTTTTGGGAGAATAAATTTTGGATTTTTATTTTTTGGTCCGGTCATGGGGCCTGAACTCTGGGCCTGGGCACTGTCCCTCAGCTCTTCAGCTGAAGGCTAGTGCTCTACCACTCTGGAGCCACAGTGCCACTTCCGGCTTTTTTCTTTTTTGCTTATGTGGTGCTGAGGAATCGAACCCAGGGCCTCATGCATGCAAGGCAAGCACTCTACCACTGAGCCACCTTCCCAGCCCTCAATTTTGGATTTTTATCACTGTACCATCATAAGATGATTTTTAATTGATTGTGGGGCTGAGCTCAAGGTTAGTACTCTAACACTTTGAGCCACAGTGCCACTTCTGTTTTTTGTTTGTTTGTTGTTTGTTTGGGAGGGTTGGTGGTTAATTAGAGATAGGAGTCTCATGAAGACTTTTCAGCTTTGAACTTTAATCCTCAGAGTGCAGCCTTCTGAGTAGTTAGGATTTCAGGCGTGAGCCACCACTGCCTGACCCATCAAGAAGTTTTCTTTTTCTTTTTTCTTTTTGTCTCCAGTCCTGGGGCTTGAACTGAGGGCCTGGGCACTGTCCCAGAGCTTCTTTTGCACAAGGCTAGCACTCTATTACTTGAACCACAGCACTACTTCCATCCTTTTCTCTTTATGTGGTACTGAGAAATCAAACCCAGGGCTTCATGCTTGCTAGGCAAGAACTCTACCACTAAGCCACATTTCTAGCCCAAGATATTTATTAATAGAAAAAATATTTCAGAGAAATATATATTTTTGAGAAGTCAAAGAATTAAAATATAATTTTGGTTTTTGGCTTATTTCCAATACAGTATACTATATATATAGTACTATTTGTCACGTTGAAGAATTAGTCATTGTCAGTATCCTCATTATAGATACATAACAGGTAGGATGAAATTTCCCACATATTTAATCATTTATTTGTGGTTCTTATGAAGTATAAATCAACTCATTTCAGTATTTTTCTGGACTCTCTCCTTTCTGCCATGGCCTTTACATAGAGATAGCGATTTTTTCTCTCTATTTCTCTTTCTCCTTCTCTCCCTTTCTGTCACTCTCTTGTTTTGAGATATTGTCTTGCTATATAGTTTAGGCTGTCTTGAACTTTTGATCCTCCTGCTTTACCCTCTGGAGTGTTAGGATTATGGCTATGTGACATCAAACGCCCTGTACCATCTTTTTATCTTATGTCCTTTTACTAGTTCTTTCCTCATTTCTTACTTTTGAAAATCTGCATTTCATTTCATTCCTTCAATAAGTCAGCAGTCAGAGGTGCATAGACCTTTCTGGTAGAAGAATTAAATGCAATGTATCAACTAAACATTGAAAGGCTAATGTATCCCATAGGAGTCAGTCCAGGGGATAGTCAGGGAGTACACAGTGAAACCAGACATTTAAACCAGTCCAAAGGAGTGAGAATATAATAGTGTGGCATCTTTGACATTTATTCACTTCATTCATAGGAAGAGCTCTTGCTTAAGGCAAGCAAAGACTTTCCCCCTAGTGCTGAGAAAGCAAACCCAAGGCTTCACAAATGCTAGGTAAGTGTTCTACCACTGACCTCCATTCTCAGCCTGAGCAAAGACTTTTGAATCCCATAGAGACATAATTTTTAGAATAGTTACTTGTACTTCTCTGTCACAGAAAGTTACAAATAATAAAAGTGAGAATGGTGCCATTAAGAAGAAAAATAACCAATCCTCAAAGGATTCTAAAATAATGTTTTAAATAGTAAATGATACAACTGCAGTCATGTAACTTATTGATGGGTTAGTTTATGAGACTTTCATTGTTGGGTGACTTCATTATTATGTACATATTGCAGAGTTTAGTTTACACAGATGTCTGACAAATATCTACCTAAGCTTTATGGTACATGCCATCTCAAGTGAACCACCACTGAACAAAATATGTACACCTACATTCTTTCTATGTATGGGATGAACACAACACTAAAAAGATTTCTATCCCAATAGTTGTTTGCTTGGTACTATAAGAGCTTTTAGGCTTCACTATATCTGTTTAAATGATTTTACTGAACAATAGTTATTTAATGATGGAAAAATTAGAGGTGATTAACTGTGGGGAATACACTAAAACATGAAAATTAAACTCAGGTGAGGTATTGAGCTTAAAAAAGCTGAGAAAATCCAGTGTAGAGTAAAACACTGAAGGAAGCACCAAGTCCACGTAATAGCTTACCATCAATTCCAAAACATTATTTCAAAATACCTGATATTTTCCATTATGTAAAGATCCAGGTAGAATATCCCTTATCTGAAATGCTTCTAACCAGAAATGTTTCAGTGCAGAATTTTTCATTTTGGAATATTTTGCATGTATATTGTATATAATATATGGAGCATGAACTCAAGACTAAATGCAAAATTTATTTGTATTTCATATAATGTGGCCAGATAGATAATATACAAATCTTTTAATGCACTTGCGTTTGGACTGTGACTTGTTATATGAGGCCAGTTATGGGATTTTCCACCGTGACTAAAAATGTTTTTGGATTTTGGATTTCAAATTTCCTTCTTGGGAGGTTCCACTCATCCAGCACAGTCCTGAGGTGAAAGAAAGGTAGAGACAATCTTACCCAGGGGCACTCTGGCAGCACTGGCGTCTGGATTGATCCAGAAGGACAGCCAGGAGAGAACCACAATCAGCAAAGTTGGAGCATAGACACCCATCATGTAGAAGCCGACCTGTCTCCTCAGGGTGAAGATGACCTCTACACACGTGTAGTAGCCTTTGAGAAACACAGAGTACATGGGTGAGTTCTCAGACATGTCCAGTTGCAGAAGTCATAAGACACTTCTAGCTGGAACTACAAAACATCAACACCACTAAAGAGTTTTTTCTTGAGTATACATAATTTATGTGCTCCAAATGTATGATATTCTGGAACTTTCTCCACCTGATCATTTGTAACTCCTTTACAACTGAAAAAATAGATCACACATATTTCACCTCCACAGGCTGTTCTCTCTATGCTGAGAACTTAAAATTAAACCAACTTTAGACCAGAGCATGTCCTCTCGGCCAAAAGCCCTATGGGAACCACACAGGGAACAAAAAATGAAAACGGAGCAAATCTAAAAGAGAAGTCTTTGAGTACACAATACACGTTCAGTCACTTGTAGAACTTCTTGTGGAGAAGCTACAGTCTACAACATCTCCCACAAATAGTTTAATTTTAAAAAAACCTCAGGGAATATTAGAAGGAAACAGTAAAGGCTAGACGTTGGTGCTATCCGTCTATCCACACAAAAGAGTTCAATGTGTTAACTCTGCATATTTCTGCCCAGTCCTCACTCCTGTACACCTGGCCTCTGATGTTCTCTAGTGGAGGAAAGAACTTGGATTTTCAAAAGCCGAGACAGATGCAGAAACTCCTTTGCAATATAATTTTAGGACTGTTATCATATAAAGTAGCTCCCAATTCATGAGAGAGGCCTTGTGAGAGCCTTTGCTGCCCTAAGAAAGTAAACAAGCAATAAGAATATTCTAGGAGCTCTCCACCTAACACAAGATATACTTCCAGATGTTCTAGATTATTAAAACTAAGCATTAAACATAAGAATGCCACTTAGCAACAGTAAAATTATATATACATATACATATATATTCCAAAGTTAAAATAATTTCAATTGTTCTCAGTTTAAACTCTGTCATTATTTTCAAACAATGAAGCAAAGAAATAGAAGACAGTAATCAAACAGTTATGCCAGAAAAGATAAAGGTACTGTCTTATAATAAAAAGTAAATATTTGTCTAGTCTTTGTAATTAGAATAAATATCTGTATCACCTTCATATTTATTGCAGTACCTACAGCAACATTTGATTCATTGGCTCTTAATAAATGTTGACTGAAAGAAGGGCTACTTGTATCCTAATACGAGGAAAGTTAGAAGAGAAAACACTGTTTCCCAGTTTGAATTATAACCATTGCTGCCTCTGAGAGAGTAGAAAGACAATAAAGCTAAAAGGGAACCAAAAACAATTCGCTGATTGGAACAGAAGTAAATCCTAATTATGCCTAATGCATTCATTCATATTATATCAAAAACAAAAAGAAATAGCGTTTGGTTAAATTTTAATTTCATGAAAACTAGGCAATAAATCAAATCTTTCACGGTTTTGCAAGATAGAAAAACAAAACAATCAAACAAACTTTATTCTTTTACTGCCTGAAAATAAGAACATATTTCTAACTATCACCTGTAATATTAAGAAACATAATCTTCAATATGCTATAATTAAGAAGGATCACAGTATTTCTTAAAATGGGGTTCCAAGCCACCTTGCTTTGTAAGAGTATCACTTTTTCATGAATATTTTATATATACCTACTGCATATATAGCTACTGTATGTGGAAAGGGATACATTTGTGTTCATAAATACTTAAATATATATATATATATATATGTATGTATGTATTCCACTTCACCATATTGAAACAACAATCTAGGTGACATCCATCCTGTGTTGGGAAACAAGTTTCCATCATGTTCCTTTTGCTCAGGTGCCACTGGGAGAGTTTCAGAAGATATGGAGGTATTCAGCATGAAAATATGTTTGATATTATAGTTATTTGTTCTATAAACTTTTATGAGAAACATTTGATCTTTTTTATCTTTCCCTAGTACTGTTACATTTATAGGAGGCAGGTGGGCAGTTAATTGATATAAATGTTCACTGGGAAAATTCAATTTATTTTCTATTTCCTGTGAGGTTTTATTTCATTATTCACTCTTGATTCTAATTTCAGTATTTTTGTATATTTTCTTCCCATATATCACCCCACCTTTGTTATTTAGCTACTAGAAAACTGTAATTGTAGTAAAGTTAAGCTGAGTCATTACTTCTATACAGATTACATACTGGTCATTATTTTACATATAAGTATGTATTTATAAGTATCTATTAACCTTCTTGCTCAATTTTCTACACACTTTGAATGACCTACTTTAAATTAGTTTCTAAATATTATCCAAACATTAAGCATATTTTACTGTAGTCAGATAATTGTTTATGTCAGTGTTGATAAAGTACCCAAAACAGGAAGCACCAAGAAATTCTAATTGTAGGATTTTTTTTTTTTGCTATTTTTCTCTAGCTAATGAGATTTTGGGTTGCTTACTCATGATGAATCAAAAATATCATAATTTTTCTCATAATTCTTGAGCAATCATTAAGGTTATTTCTATTATGGCACACCCTTCAATTTCCTTCTAAGCACTAAAACATATGTTTATTTTTTCCTTGTTTATTTCTTAGAATATGGATCTATAAAGACCAAGGATCTTAAATGTGAAAAAATGAACATTACAGTGATTTCTATACTATTAAATTATGTAGTGTTATAACACACAATTGCAAATAATATTATTAGTTTTATTTTTGTCATTTATACATAAAGTAGAAAGATCAACCTAAACTGTGTACTGGTAGCTCGTGCTTATAATCCTAGCTATTTAGGAGGCTTAAATCTGAGAATCTCAGTTTGAAGCCAGAACAGGTAGGCAAAACAATAAGACCCTTAGTCAACTAAAAGCTGGAAATGGAGGTATGGTTCAAGCAATAGACTTCCAGCCATAAGAGAAAGAGCTGAGTGAGAGCACAGACCTTGCATTCAAGTGCCAGTATAGGCACAAAATATTTTTCTCACACAGCATAGCTGTATTCATTTTGAAATGTTAAGTTTATAATCTGGATATGGATAACTGTTTTCAAATTATAACAGGACTCAACAGGTAGTGTATCAAGTTCAATACTGTAACAATTCACTTAAAAACAATATCTCCTTTCTCAAGTGACTGCTTAATTAAAGCCTAATGTGTCAGAGAAAAATAATGAAATATTTAAATCAGAGGATTATTATGATAATGAATTACATAATCCCTGCAAATACTTAAAACAATGCCTTTCCTAGAAAGAATTCAATAAACCATCTCCTTAAATATGAATTACTGTGAAAAAACTGTCAGAAGATGAGTTGTAAGTCTCTAACAGGTATAATCTCCACTTGAAGGAGTTCCGATAGGTAAAGAATTACTAAACCTAGCCCCATGCCTGGTGATATACAGTCACTTGGTCAGTGGTTAGTCAGCCAGAAAATCATTCTGCACTTCAGTTATCTTATATGTTGCACAAAGGAGCTAGCTAGCTAGTTTAGAATTGTCTAAAAGTTCACTTCTTTATCTAACTATTTATGTACCTATGACTTCACTGAGTACTCTGATGGCTATTTTTAAGAACATTGTTTTTACTTAAAAATTTTTACATAATTAATATTATTAATAATTATAATTATATTATATTATAATAGCAATAATTGATACTACTACTACTACTATTGTACCAAGGCTTCTGCTCAGAACTTCACAGCATCACTTTGCTTGCTGGCTCATGGCTGGCACTGTACCACTTGAGCCAAATCTCCAGTCTGGCATTTTGCTGCTTAATTGGGAATGGAAACTGGGAGACATTTTGACCTAAACTGGCTTGAACGCTGTTCCTCTTGGTCTAAGACTCTTGAGTAAGCAGAATTACAGGTATGAATTACCAGGTTCTGGGTTAAAACTTGACAATTATTTAACAGCATGTTAGTTGAATGATATTTCTCTTGTCCTGAAGAATGTAACATTTATAAGAGAAAGGATTGCTTATATAAAATGTCATATAGTGTATCAATGTATTTGAAAGCAAACAACAAATAGTAAAGTTAAGTTGCCTAGAGTTTGTAATATTGCATAAATACAAGTATATTTTATACTCAATGATATAATGACAACTCTGATCTCTTTAACTTCTATACAAATATAGTACATAATAAGAAATTAAAGTATTGCAAATCAATGTAAACATTGCTATAAAGTTAAATTTCATTTTTATCTTTTGTCATGATTTCATTCTTGATATACAATTAATATTGAGTGGTATCAAAAGATAAACTGATATTACTTAAATACTATCAAATTAAATGACACTATCAAGAGCATCTAACATCCTTAATGACTAAACACCACCAGTACATATTCAAGGTTAAACAGTACTCATATTAGGACAGCAGTTAGTACTGTATATTCTGCAAAATGCAATGCAGTGTAACAAATGAGGTTCATATCTTATACTTTTCATTATAAGCTGTTCTAGTACATATTCAAAATGCCACAAAGGGAATAGTCACTAGGGTTCAATTATCTCACACTTTCATTAATTTCAGCAGAACATGAAGATCAATACTTTTATAGTTGACAAAATAAGCCCCATACTGTTTGCAAAGACAATATATAAACACAAATGGATTACAGGCTTCAAATCCAAAATGTTTAGCCCAGAATAAAATCTTCCTAGAAGCAGAATGTATTGGCAACATCTGAGAAACCACTGCCTGGGAGAGTGTGCATGGCTAGGATTAAAAATTAAAAACCTTTTACTAGTAGACTTATATACAAACATATCTATTTTGTAATTCAAATATCAAAATGCTCAAGTGAATATAATTCTTTGAAAGAGTCAAAATATAATTATGAAGATAGTAGGTTTAAAGGAAACTTATTTTAGTTAGCTTTCAATCATTCCTCTTGGCTTATATTAATATTTAAGTGAATCTTTAGAATATGGGCTGGGAAGGTGGCTCAGTGGTAGAGTGCTTGCTTCGCATGCATGAGGCCCTGGGTTCAATTCCTCAGCACCACATAAGCAGAAAAAGCTGGAAGTGGCGCTGTGGCTCATGTGGTAAAGCACAGCCTTGAGCTGAAGAGCTGATGAGCTGAAGAGCTGAGGGGCAGAGCCCAGGTCCAGAGTTCAAGCCCCACAATCGGCAAAAAAACAAAAACAAAAACAAAAAAAACTTAGTTTTGTTTAATTAAAAGAAATCACTTACCAGTTCCTTTGTAGTACTTTGTGCAGTTGCCATATTCAATATCCTCCTTTTTGATGTCAAATTGAGGCAAGGCAATTTTTTCTAACTGAACAGGATCCCCTGACTGCCAGATAAATCGCAAATCATCAGTTGTATAACCAACTATAAACAAAAATAAGTAAATAAAAATTAGAAAATTAGGTATTAATGATTTTTAATATGTTAATTATCTTAAGAAAGTGGGACATTGTTTTATGACATTATAGTTTAAGATGTTCAAAAGTAAAATATATTCCACTTGTAAGAATATTATCTCAAGAGTTACAGATAAACATCTTAAAGACAGAACAAATTTAAATATCAGTGTCTTGTTAATTGATAAATTCTTAGAACATTCTGTCGATACATACTCACCTCTCTATGTCAGAATTTTTAACTCCCATCAATAAAACTTGTGGTACAACTTTTCTGAATGTGTAAGTTTATAATCATGCATTATTTGACCTAGGAGTACTCAAAGGAATACAAACATTTAAAGCATCTTAGATCTTTTTTTTTAATTGTGATTAAGTGATTACATAATTTCCCAAATTTCACAGTATTATGGGATAGTGATGCTCAGTTAAAGTCACAAACACATTCTAACTTTCCTGGAGTAAGTTGTCTATCACAGTCTATAACATTTATGAATTCTATTAGCTTTGCGATAGTTATTTCTTCCACATTGGGTGGTATGTACATTTCTTTTGTTTTGCATAGCATCAGCTGTTCCCTCTTTCCCATTTGTTCCCTCCCTCCCATCGCTGCCATTAAGTTGTTTAGTTCATTTTTGTCAATGTCCTGTGCAGCTAATGGGTCCTGCTGTTGTATATTTTCCCCTGATTCCCTCTAGTTCTATGTCCTCTTCCTGGTTCCCCTCCGGTGTGTATATATATATACCATACATGTGATCAGCAGCATGGGGTTATTTAGTAGTGGTTCAACCAGATGAGTGGAAGTTCTTTGTTTCTTAAGTCCTGTTAATTTTGTCATATCACCTAATATTTTGTATTTAACATCCACTTATCAGAGAGACCATGTACTGTTTGTCTCTTTGTTCTTGTCTTACCATGCTCAACATGGTTTCTTCTAGCTTCATCCATTTCCCTGCAAATGTCATTATTCTGTCATTTCTAATGGCTGCATAATATTCCATTGTGTATAGATACCACAATTTTCGGATCCATTCATCTGTGGTGGGGCATCTGGGTTGTTTCCATATCCTGCCTATTGTGAACAGTGCTGCAATAAACATGGAGGTGCATGTGTCCTGTGTACTGGTTCCTGTTGTTCAGGATAGATGCCTAGAAGTGGTATGACTGGCTTATATTTAGCTTTCTGAGGACTCTCCAGACTGCTTTCCAAAGTGGTTGTATAAGTGTACATTCCCACCAGCAGTGTAATAGGGTTCCTCTTTCTCTGCATCCCATCCAGCATTTGTCGTTGGCTGACTTGAAGATGTGGGACATTCTGACTGGGGTAAGGTGATATCTCAGGGTTGTCTTTATTTGCATTTCCTTCACAACCAGGGACGGTGAACATTTCCTCATGTGTTTCTTTGCCATTTTTATCTCTTCATCTGAGAAGTCTCTCTTTAGTTCCATTGCCCATTTAGTAATTGGTTTGTTAGGTTTGGGAGGGATTAGTTTCTTGAGTTCCCTGTATATACTGGATATTAACCTCTTGTCTGATATACTGCTGGTAAATATTTTTTCCCAATTAGTTGGTTGTCTTTCTTGCTTGGCTGTGATAGCTTTAGCTGTGCAGCTTTTTATTTTAAGGTAGTCCCATTTGTCAAGTCTCTTTCCAATTTGTTGTTACCCTGGGACTCTGTTCAGGAAGTTCCTTCCTGTGCCCATAAGTTTAAGTGTCTCTCCTACTCTGTCCTGCAGTAGTTTCAGAGATTCAGGCTTGATGTTAAGGTCTTTAATCCACTTTGAGTTGATGTTGGTGCATGGTGACAGGCTGGGGTCCACTTTTAGTCTTCTGCATGTGGCCATTCAGTTTTCCCAGCACCAGTGGTTGAAGAGACTGTGTTTCCTCCATTGTATGTCTTTGGCTCCTTTGTCAAATATCAGCTGACTGTAGGCCTGTGGATTTATTTCTGGATCTTCTATTCTATTCCATTGGTCTTCGGGTCTGTTTTTGTGCCAGCACCATGCTGTCTTTGTTATTATAGCTCTATAGTAGAATTTGAAGTTCAGCATGGATATCCCTCCCATGTTGTCTTTATTCCCTAGAATTGTTTTGGCTATTCTAGGTCTTTTGTTGTTCCATATGAATTTTTGGACTGTTTTCCATATTTCAGAGATGTACGTCATTGGGATTTTAATAAGAATTGCATTGAATTTATATATTAATTTTGGCAGTATTGCCATTTTCACTATATTAAGTCTGCCTATCCAAGAGCATGGGAGGTCTTTCCATCTCCTGGTGTCTTCTGTAAGTTCTTTCTTTAACTTTTCATTAAATAGTTCTTTTACATCTTTGGTTAGGTTAATTCCTAAATATTTTATTTTGGGGAAGGTTATTGTGAATGGGCTTGCTTCTTTTATTTCCCTTTCTGCTAGTACATTGTCAATGTACAGGAAGGCAACTGATTTTTGTGGGTTTATTTTGTATCATACTACTTTGCCGAAGTGATTTATGATTTCTGAGAGTTTGGGGATGGAGTTTTTGGGATCCTGAAGGCATAGTATCATGATATTTGCAAAAAGGGATAGTTTAACTTCTTTCCCTATGCGGATCCCTTTAATGTCTTTTTCTTGCCTTATTGCCCTGGCTAAGGGTTCCAGGACTATGTTGAAGAGGAGTGGAGACTGTGGGCATCCTTGCCTTGTTCTAATTTTAAGAGAATTGGTTGTAGATTTTCCCCATTAAGTATAATATTGGCTATTGGTCTGTCATAAATGGCTTTTATTGTTTTAAGAAATGTTCCTTCTATTCCTATTTTCTCCAGAGCTTTTAGCATGAATGAATGTTGAATTTTATCAAAGGCCTTTTCTGCATCTGTGGCGATAATCATGTGATTCCTGACCTTGGCTCTGTTGATGTGTTGGATTACATTTATTGACTTACGTATGTTAAACCATCCTTGCTTCTCTGGGATGAAGCCTACCTGGTCATAGTGTATGACTTTTTTTTTTAATGTTTCTCAATTCTGCTAGCTAGAATCTTGTTAAAGATCTTTGCATCTGTGTTCATCAAGGAAATTAGCATGTAATTCTCTTTTTGGTTGGGTCTTTGCCTGCTTTGGGGATGAGTGTGATATTGGCATCATAGAATGACTTTGGGATAGCTCCCTCCTTCTATGTTTCTCTGAAGAGCTTGAGGAGTATGGGTATTAGTTCTTCTTTAAAGGTCTTATAGAATTCTGCTGTGAATCCATCTGGTCCTGGACTTTTTTTTTGTTGGAAGACTTCTGATTGGTTCCTGTATCTCGTTGTAGAATATTGGTTTATTTAATTGATTTACTTCTTCTTAGCTCAGTTTGGGTAACTTGTATTTCTCTAAAAATGCATCCATTTCTGCCAGGTTTTCTTTCTTTAGAGAGTATAACTTTTGAAAGTAGTCCATTAAGATTGTTTGGATATCTTGGGTACGTGTTGTGATTTTTCCCGTGGCATCCCTAATCCTGTTAATATGGGTTTCCTCTCTTTTTTTAAATTAATCTTGACAATGGTCCACCAATTTTACTTACTTTTTCAATGAACCAGCTTTTTGTTTGGTTAATTCTGGCTATGATTCTCCTATTCTCTAATTCATTAATCTCCGCTCTTAGTTTGGTTATCTGGCTCAGTCTAGTAACTTTAGATTCCTTTTTTTTCATGTTTTTCTAGCTGTTTTAATTGCAACATGAGATTATTTACTTGGTCTGTCTCTATTTTCTTGATGTGGGCACTGAGGGTAATAAATTTGCCCCTCAGGACTGCTTTTGCTGTGTCCCACAAGTTTCTTTGCGAGGTGTTTTCATTTTCATTGAGTTGTAGGATATTTATTTCTGCTTTGATTTCTTCTGTTACCCAGCATTGTTTAGAAGTGTGCTGTTCAATTTCCATGTATTAGAGTAATTTCTGTGGTATGCTTTATTATTGAGAACTAGCTTGATTCCACTGTGGTCAGATAGGATACAGGGGATTATGTCGATACTCTTGTATTTGGTTAAGTTCCTTGCATGAACTATGATATGGTCTATTTTGGAGAAAGTTCCATGAGCTGCTGAGAAGAATGTGTACTCTGTTGTTTTAGGATGAAATACTTGGTAGGTATCAGTTAATTCTGCTTGAAGTATGGCCTCTCTTAATTTGGTAGCTTCTTTGCCAATCCTCTGGTTGGTAGACCTGTCCTTTGGTGAGAGTGGGGTGTTAAAGTTTCCTAGTATTATCGTATTGGGATCTATTTTATTCTGTAAGTTTGAGATATTTGCTTAACATCTGGGTGCACCAATGTTTGGGGAATATAAGTTGATAATGGTAATATCCTCCTCTTAGATTGTTCCCTGTATTAATATGTGGTGTCCATCCTTATCTTTTTGTATTGATTTTAATGAAAAGTTTATTTTGTCAGGTATCAGGCTTGCTACACCTGCTTTTTAACTGGGATATTTGATTGGTAGATCCTTTCCCAACCCTTCACTCTGAGTTTGTTTGTATGTTTGGCTGAGAGGTGGGTCTCCTGAAGGCAACAACAGATGGATGGAGCTCATGTTTTCTGATCTAATCTGCAGTTCTTTTTTTTTGATTGGCAATTAAGCCCGTTAATATTAAGCGATAGTATAGAGAGATGCATTGTGGTCCCAGTCCTTCCCTGTTTTCCTCAGTTTCTCTTCTTTCCTTTCCTCCTGTGCTTGCTCAGTTAGACTTCTATTAATGCCTGTCTGGGTGCAGGTCCCTGTTCCTGGTTGTTTTCTTCAGGTTGTGTTCCCCCTCTTAGTATTCTTTGCAATGCTGGCTTAATGTTTATGTATTCATTTAGTTTTTCTTTGCTATTAAAAATTTTCAGCTCTCCATCGAATGTGAATGCTAGCTTTGCCGGGTATATCAGTCTGGGTTGGCAGTTATTGGCTCTCAGGGCCTGTATGGTACTTTCCCAAGTTTTTCTTACATTCATTGTTTGTGTGGAGAGATCTGCAGTGCTTCTAATTTTTTTCCCATTGTAGTATAGCTCCTTCTTCATTTTTGCTGCATGCAGGATTGTTTTCTTATTATTCAGATCCATCATTTTTACTATAATGTGTCTAGAAGTGTTTCTCCTGGGATCTTGTTTGTTAGGTGTTCTATATGCTTCTGTTATGTAGGTAAGATGTTCTTTTTTGAAATGGGGAAAATTTTCACCGATTATCTTGTTGAATAGGTGTTGCATTCCCTTGCTTTGGTATTCCTCACCTTTGCCCACTCCAATTATATGAAGGTCAAATTTCTTGGCACTATGTGCTTGCTCTTGAATTTCCCTTTGGCATAATTTAAGTGATTTTTCCATATCTGTCATTTTTTTGGTCCAGTTGGTGTATTGTCTTCTGTATCTGAAATTCTACATTCCATTTCATTCACTCTGTGGCTTCCATTGTGGTTTGCATGAAGAAAATGGACTCATTTATGGATTCGATGTTGGTGCTCAAAGTACTGATCTCACCTCTTATTGAGGTATGAGCCTCTATTTTGGCACATTTCTCACTTCATAGTGAGGTATGTACTGCCTCTATTTTTGTGTGTACCTCCTGTTTGATATACTGCATCTCTTTTGATATTTCGACCCTGTGTTCTTTCAATTTCTGGTCTATTTCTCACTTTATTTCTTGAGTCATTCCTCCAGCATCTCTTGGATGTAGCTTTTGTCTTCCATTCCTGCTTTGCTCCCACTGGGGCTCTCCCCGGGGGGGGGGCTGCTGGCTTTTGGGGATAACTTGCTATTCTGGGTGTTGATAAACCTTGTAATTTTTCTCTGTGATTTTCACATAGGGGTTCAGGGATTATTGGAGACTAATCTGAAATTTTGTTTCGGTCAATAGGTGTCTGTCTTTGCTTGGTTGCTGTTTCTGTGCTGGCAGAGACAGTCTGCATCTGATTTTGGTTCTGTTGGGGGCCGACCTCCAGCTGCTGATCTGACTCATATAGGGTTCTCGACTCTCTGCTGTGGATCACTGGCAGTTCCCACCTTTGGAAGGGTTGAGCAGCCTAGATTGCTCCTGTTTGCTCCTACAGGTGTTCTTGGCATGATCGGATGTGCTGGATGCACTCTCCCAGATGTTGGAGTCTTTTATGGGCTCCTGGTTTTGTTTTTGTTTGGCTGGTTGTGGGCTTGAACTCTGGGCTTGGGCACTGTCCCTCAGCTCTACAGCTCAAGGCAGGCACCCTACCATTTGAGCCACAGCATCACTTCTGGCCCTTTCTGCTTATGTGGTGCTGAGGAATCAGATCCAGGGCCTCATGCACACAAGACAAGCACTCTACTGCTGAGTCACCTTACCAGCCTGAGCTCCTGCTGGTGCTGGTGGCTTGTGTTGTCCAATTCCCAGCCTAGAATATATGGGTCGGGTTCTGGTGGGGTTTGGGCTTCTCTTGTCCTGAGCCCCCTGGGTCTTTTGCTGTCACAGGTGTGATTCCCAGGGGGTGCAGTTCTGTTTTTCTCCCCTCTGCTGAGGCATATGCTCAACTTCTGACTTCAGTTGGGAGGAGTTGGTTGTTTTGCTCAGGCACCGGATCCCCAGGCCTGGTCCCGGCCCCCCACCTGTGGCATGCCGATTGGGCCTGTGCTTCTGTGTATACCGCCTAGGTTACATAGCCTGGGATACATAGTTCAAATTTCTTCCACTGTTGTCTCGACCCAGGGGCACTGTTCCTAGCTTGGGCGTTTAAACTCCCTTCCAGGGGTGCTCTTGCTCTAGCTGGCCAGCTGAGTATGCTCCATGGACTGATGGAGTACTCAAACAGTTCCCAGTTTTAGTGAGTCTTGTGGTCCAGGTGTTGGGGGGTAGGGGGTCTGGGTCAGGGTCTGGGGATTCCCACCAGCTCTGGTCTCCCTTGAGGGATACACTGTCCCCTGCAGGGTACTCATCCTGGAACTAGTTGTTTCTGTGTGATGTAGGTTGTCAGTTGCCATTGCAGAGTTCAGTTGAGGTGGTTGTGGGCTGGGTGGTGGTGGCTCTGTGTTTCTCTTCTGTCTCTGCCTCAGTTGATGCTGTTCGGTTTCACACCGGATGGGCCTCTGGCCTCTGCCCGAAGGGTGGGGGAGGGGCCTCTGTGCAGGTTCTGAGCACTGGGGTTTGTCTTTGTTTGTGCTCTCCGGATCAGCACCAGTTCCTCCCAGGTCTTCTGTTCTGGTGTTCTGTGTGCATCCCGTGTAGCCCTGGGGCTCTCGTGGTGGGGCCGAGTTCCGGGTTCGGAGGTTTCTCCATTCATCGTGATCGGCGGGTCTGACACTGGTACCTCAGGCAGCTTCTGCATCGGTGACCTGCCGACAGCCTCCTGTGTCTCTGGAACTCCAGCAGCCTTCGTGGGGGTTCTGAGCACTGGAGTTTGTGCTCTCCGGATCAGCACCAGTTCCTTGCAGGTCTTCTGCTCTGGTATTCTGTGGGTGTCCCATGTAGTTCTGGGGTTCCCACCGTGGGGTCGAGTGGCTTTGGCAGGATGGAGCCTCTCTGCTCGGATGGAGAGGGGTGGAGGTGGGATCTATGTGAAAGCTTCTGGCTGGGAGGTTTCTCTATTAGTCATGATCAGCGGGTCTGACAACGGTACCTCAGGCGGCTTCTGTGCCGGTGATCTGCAGACAGCCCCCTGTGTCTCTGGGGCTCCAGCAGCCCCCGCTGGGCCGCCTGGCAGCGGCAGGTCAGTAAAGTTTGGGGGAAGGGTCTTCACACTTCTCTGTTCTGAAATTCTTCTTTTTCTCCCTTTCTTTTTTGTTATTTTCCACCTCCCGTTTTTCTCTGGGTGTTCATCTTTTTATTGTCAGTCTCTTGGGGAGATTAATCGTTGGAACTTGAACTCTCTTTTTGGTTAGGGAGGGCTGTGGCGTTTCCTACTGCCTGGTCGCCATCTTGGTCCCCTCTCGCATCTTAGATCTTGAAGAAATTACTACACTGTTTCTCTCACAGTGAGCAATACAAATTCATTCTTCAAATGGGCATCGTGATACCACCATTCGGTCTCCCGAATCACAGGTTCTGGCCTTAGGTACTATGGCCATAGTTCAAGTCTTATGCCACATAAGAGTCTACCATTGAATCATCCAGATAATCTGTTCTTAAACATAATATTACAGCCAGATACCAGTGGTTTATGCCTGTAATATAGCTTCTAAGAAGGTTGGGATCAGAGGATAGTGGTTCACAGCCAAAATGGGCAGGAAAGTCTGTGAGACTCTTACCTCCAATAAACTACTCAGAAAGTCAGAAGTGGAGTTGTGGGCCAAGTAGTAGAGGGCTAACCTTGAGCAAAACAGAGCTCACAGACAGTGCCCAGGCCCAGAACCAGAACCAAATAATGATAATTATAATATTTCTAGTAAAGGGACATGTAGTATATACACAATTTTTAAAAACACATTGATGCATATAAAACATTGAATATATGTACAAATCTTGTACTTTAATTAGAAAGCAATAAATTTTGTTCAAAGTATAATATAATTCAGTATATTTTTTCAAAACTGATAAATAACTCAAAATAAGTAAATATATAGTCTAGTAAGCACATGTGTTTTATAAGGGCATTATTTTTTACTCCTTACAGAATGACATTTAAGTACTTCGGCTTAAAGAGTCCTTATGATACTTATATTAATTTTTCAATGTGTAAGACATGTTTATATTTTTAAAAATACATTATTTTCTATATGTTTTATAGGAAATTTCAATGAACATACCTAGACTATATTTTTAAACTAAAAATCTCAAACTTTGTTAAAAAGTAATTTTTTCATTCATAGAAAGTAACCACTTGATTGGATTTAAGAAGAAATTTTAAATCATTTTTCAAGGTTTCTGCCATAGAAACTGGTTTTAACCTCAGAGAGACAGTGTTAGAGTTCCACATTTTTCTTTACCTTTGCTTTACTGCTAATTCACATGTGAAGGGCACTTGGAGAAAGTTAGTGCAAACACTCACATCAGCTGAACTAAAAGCAGATTAGAAAGGATTTGTCTATCTCAGCACGGTTTAATAGAGTAAAGGAATAATTATAATTCTCAAAAGTGATCTAGTGATGCTAATGACTACTTATGACCAAAAGCATTAGGTTTTTTATGTTGGTTATGTAAGATATTAATAGATTATCTCATCTAGACATAAATATTTTGTTCCCATAACCACTATTGAATCATTTACATACAGCTCTCCAGTTGCATCTTACAACGCTGTGTGTCCATAGGGAATAAAGTCAAATCCAAAGGGCATGAAAGAGTAATGGATAACCTGAAAGCAGGAATACGGAAATTAGAAATACTGTATATACTATGATCTGTTCATTTAAAAATAGATAGAGCTGCAGAAATTGTAAATATCAAAAGGTACCTCATGCTGACAAGGACATCTCCATCCCGAAAAATAAAGAGAAGGATATTTTCCTGAGTTACATCATGGAAATTGGCACTTTTTTCATTTGCAAAGAATAAATCAGGTTTCCATAAACACTTGTACATTGTAGGATCCACTGTCAGTGCATCTGAGCCCCTGAAGTCACTAGGGAGCTTTAGCCTTGGGTCATTCCATTTTTGTCTCAAGAAGATATTAACTCTGTAGTCCTAGGAAAAATAAAGAAATATGTTCATGTGTGTATCTACTAATATATTTGATTACTTAAAAATAAGGTGTGCATGTGTCTAGTTATGGTTATTTTTAGTTACTTAAAAATAATACACCCATGTTTATGTTAGTTACTAATTTGGAGAACATGTTAACACTAGAATGAAAAAGGTTTTATGATTAGTAACAAGAAATTTTGCTCTTCTAACATCAACTAGGATCACATTTGAGCCATTAAATGAGTGCTTCATCCCCCAGGTAAAAAGAGTCTTGAATCTATGTTATTCTCAAAAGATGTTTTTCATAGCCTAGCATTGACTAACAAAATGGTAGACTATAACTTTGCCATTATGTGTGTTACCTAAATGTAAACACCAACAATTCAAATTAGATAGGTGGCATCAGCATACACAGATAAGAACAGCCAAAGTTGTTGCCATTTTCCCCCCAAAAGTAGGACAAAATCAATTAAGAATAGGTATATATATTTTTTTCAGTTGTGGGGCTTGAACTCTGGGCTTGGGCACTGTCCAAGCTCAAGGCTAGCATTCTATCATTTGAGCCACAACACCATTTCCAGCTTTCTAGTGTTTCATTGGAGATAAGAGTCTCAGACTTTCCTGCACTGGCTGGCTTTGAACCGTGATCCTCAGATCTCAGCCTCCTGAGTAGCTAGGATTACAGGTGTCAGCCACCAGTGCCCGGTTGTCTTTTTTTTTTTTTTTAAGATTTTTTTTAATTGTTGAGATGTTGTACAGAGGTGTTACAGTTACATGAGTAAGGCAATGAATATATTACTTGTCCATCATTGTTACCCCTTCCCTCCCCTGTTATTGTTCCCTTCCCTCTCCCACTTTCCCCACTCCATCTCCCCATCTCCCCTCCCCCCTCGCCACCCACTCCCCCCAAATTTTAAAGTTCATTTCCAATATACTGTCGGTATTTTTGTTGCAATGGATCATCCTGTGTCCTTGTGTCAGAGTTGTCAGAGTTTTGTTATTCCTCTTCCCCTCCCCAGATTAGACATATGTATACCCAAGAGGCAGGGTACCAAAATCAAGTACAGTGACAACAGGGGATATACCATTGGGGGAAGAACATACAAAGGAAACAAAAAAAATCACATAGTCCATTAAAAACAATAACAAAGACAGACCTCTTGTGTCCATATCTTGGGTTTCATTTGACTTAGCATCATCTTATATGGTCATATGTACGTGGTTTTTGAGCTTTTCAGTTCATCTGATAAGATTATCCTATATGTATACTAATTACTGCAAATAAGGGAAACCAGGGGACCTAAATTTCTTTGCAGCTGGCTTACTTCACTTAATATGATTTTTTCCAAGTCTTTCTATTTCCTAACAAATGGGACGGTGTCATTCTTTCTTCTATTTGTCTTTTAATTAGCAAACTGAAAAGGAATAAAGTGTGTGTTTGGTACCATCAAGAATCCACAAAAATGTCAAAATCCAAGTTGCTTTAATTCTTATATTTTGCCAAGGTCCATCATTATATAAATCAATGTATTTAAACATGCATTTAAAATATTATGATAAGCTGGGCATGGTGGCTCATGCCTGTAATCCTAGCTACTCCGCTACTCCGGAGGCAAAGATCTGAGGATCGAGGTTCAAAGCCAGTCCAGGTAGGAAAGGACTCTTATCTCCAATAAACCACTTAGAAAACTGGAAGTGGCACTGTGGCTCAAGTGGTAGAACATTAGCCTTGAGCTGAAGATCTGAGGGACAGTGTCCAGGCCCAGAATTCAAGCCCCACAACTGAAAAAAAAGAATTATGATAGACACAATAAACTCAAGCATCAGTGTAACAAATAACCATGTGAGGTTATCTATATATCATTAATAAACTTTTTATTGAATCTATGGTTCTATGTTGCAGTCAAATACATCATATAAAAGTACCCAAGATGGAAGTTTCTTATTTAATTAGCACATATTAATTGTATGAGGTATTTTTGTTGTTGTTGGTTTGGTGTCATTCCTAGGGCTTGAACTCAGGGCCCAGGCAGTCTCCTTGAGCTTTTTTGCTCAAGGCTAGTGCTTTACCACTTAAGCCATAGTTCTACTTCTAGCCTTTTGGTGGTTAATTGGAGAGAGGGGTCACTTTTTGCCTGGGCTGGCTTCAAACTGCAATCCTCAGATTTTAACCTCCTGAGTAACTAGGATTACAGGCATGAGCCATCGGGTCTGGACATTTTCATAGATACTTATTTTTAATTAAATATTTAAAAATTGTTATTATAACGATGATGTACGTCAGGTAATGAATAAATTTCTTTTGGGACAATGTCATCACTTTCTTCACTTTCTCCCAATTTTCCATAGATGCTTACAATAAAGTACTTTGATCAAATTCACACCCTCCACTGTACTCTCTTAGCTTCCCTTTTCACATATTAAAAAAAAATTGTTGAGCATCATTATGCCACCATGATAGAATTTTCTTTAGTTACTTATTTCATATTTTGTCTTTTCCATACCTCCCAATCTTATCCTCATGTAGGTATTTACTATGTGCTGAGCATATTAAGTATAAGGACTTTACCAAAACATGTAATCATCAGAGATTTTGCTATGAAGATTTCCTCATGAAGATGCACCTAAATGCTTCCTGTATCCCACACAGTCTCCTCAGGAAAACGACATTAGAAATTAATCTCTTACATCCTATGCAATTATTCTTGTGCTGAATTTGCACGTTTACTCCAATTTTAGTAAGTTCTATTTTTAAACTTCTTTCCTCTTCCTCTTCTTCCTCCTCCTCTTCCTTCTCCACATCTCGTCCTGGGGCTTGAGCTTTTTTTGATTGAAGTGGAGTAACAGCTCCACTTCAGGCTTTTTTTCCCTAAAGTTTAGTTATTTGTTTTACTTATTATTATTATATTAAGTAGTTGCACACAGAGATTTTAAGCAAATAAGTCAGTACATAAGCAAACTATATCTATTCCAAACTCATTCGTATCCTCAAGTTACTTAATTCATTTTTATATTGTAGATTGAATATAAGAACTCTATAAGCCTACCCTTCTCATCTCCATTTCTCTGTCTTGCCTCTGTTTGTCCCACACCCATTCTGGTATTTTTTAAAATTATCTTTAAGTAGTTGTACAAAGGAATTAAAACAGTTTATGAATATATAATATATGAATATAATAATAATGATCGATGGTACTCCCTTCAACAATCTCACCCATCCCTCCCCTACACACTTCTCTCATTCTTAATTTTGTGGGATATATATTGGATTTTGATGCATTCTCCCCATTAGTTCTGGCTTTTCAGTGGTTAATTAAAGATAAGAGTCTCATAGACTTTCCTTCCCAGGCTACCATCAAACTGTGATATTTAGATCTCAGCCTGCTAAGTAGCTAGGATTATAAGTGTGAACCACTGGCACCTGACTTATTATTATTATTGCACCCCTCAAATCCTTTCGAGAAATAAGAATAAATTAAAAATAAGTGAAGTGACATTTTTAGCAATTATTGTATTCTCCAGGATAAAGCAATCCTATTTTAGCCTAATATTCATTTTCCTTATTTTAACATGATGTTACATACATGTACAGAGATAGAAATATTAAGATCTCATTAGTGTGCTAGCTTCTGCAACGTATGTGCTGAAAATTGAAAAAATAGACTAGCATGATCTGTCTGTAAGAAGTTCAACTTTTTACTGTACACAGCGGAGGCAGAAGTGAACATGGAGAAAATATACAGGTATACAAATTTTTAAAAAGGCAACTTGATAAGACTAGCTTGAGTAGGGGAGTATTTAAAGGAGGAATGGTAAGGGGGTAATTATTATGATCATGACCACATAAATGGACTTGTTAAAATGAAGCCTCCTATCCATGTGCTGATGGCTAGCATCTGTAATCCTAGCAACTCAGGGGGCTGAGATGCATGGATCATGGTTTGAAGCCAGCTTGAGCAGGAAAGTCCATCTCCAACTAACCACCGAAAAGCCAGAAGTTGAGCTGTGGCTCAACTGGTAGAGTTTCATCCTTGAGTGAAAAACATAAGAGACAGAACCCAGGCCCTGAGTTCAAGCCCTATTAATAGCACACAAAGGAAAATCCACATGCACAACTACCGAAGTCAAATTAAAAATTAAAAAAATACAAAAAAAGCAAAAGATTTTATTAATATTCTTTAGACAAAAACCATTTTTATGTAGGATACATAAAAATTAATTCTAAGGCTATTATATCAATATTTTATATTTTTATATCCTCCACAACAAAGAAATGTGAACCTTTAATTCACTCCAGCATATTTTGCATAATTAAAAAATAATTCATCTATAGCATCGGGTGTTGAAATAAAGAAATCAATTCTGTGTAATACTGAATTTTCCTTGAACAATTTACACATGCACATTGACATTGGCAACACTTTTCTATGTTCCTCCAGATTCAAAGAACTTATTCTACTTCATCTGAAATCAATATAGCAAAAGTAGTTTTCTTTTCAAAAAAATCATTAGAGTATTTTACTTCATGGCAGTACTGAAGTTTGAAGTCAGGCCTCACACTTACTTAGGTAAATACACAACTATGTTTTTAGTTATTTTTCATATAGGGTCTTGTGGTTTCGCTGGGTCAGCCTCAGAGCCCAAACCTGTGCTGTTCACAACTGGGATTAAGGATACCAACCACAAACGTCTAGTTTATTGAGATGGGATTTGGTTAACTTTTTGTCCCATTGACAAACATGAATCCTCTTACCCTTGCCTTCAAATAGCTTAGAGTACAAGTGTGAAATCCAGCACACAGCTAATTATAACAATTTTGATAGTGCTTCCATGTGTGCTTTATTTCCCCCAAATCTTTCCAAAAGTGTAATCAAAGTTTTTGTAAAACTCAAAACTATGCATTTGTTATTTATCAACCTACTGAGTTCAAAGTGTTTTTTTCAAGAGAAGGCTATGCAGTATGGAGAAAATCCCTGCAGTGCACCAGGAGCCATGAGCAA